CTTTAGATTGATTTGCATTTCAAAAACATTATTTCATGAATTAAAAGTAAATTATCTTTTAAAATTATATATTTTAAAATTGTTGGACATCTGGGAATTTCATTAAAAAAATTATTTAATTACCTGAAATAGTTCAAAATCAAGTATCCCAGATTTCCTAGTTTTAAAATATTAAACACTCTTTTCCCTTTAAAATAATTTTTATAGAGTGCTAACCAGTCACTATTCGAAACAGAAATTAAAATAAAATGCATTCTAAATTTGCTATTTACTATGCTGATAAATTACAAAGACTATTTAAAAAAATAGATAGGTGGATATACCAATATATAAACAAAATTAATATGAGAGAATTCCATCTGTTAGATAACTTTCAATATTTTAATTTGGTAAAAAGGAATAATGTAATTTCTTTTATACCTGATAATATAAACAGATATGATCTCAGTTAAATTTAAAAATAATGAATAAATATTATTTAGATATAAATAATTTAATTTTTTTTCACTGAAAATAATGACACCATTATATATATACCAGTAATTCAATGAAAAGTAAGCTTTTAAAAATAAACAACAATTTAACATTTTAAAATTGCTTTGTTAATCGTCTGAAAATGTTAAATTAGTTTGAAATTCAATAAACTTTTTTAATATCTCATGTCTCATGGAATAAATAATTCAAGTATATATATATTTACTTATTTATTATATCATTTGTGATAATGTTAACATTTATGTATTAGATTTATTTCTTTATATTGTAAATATTTAAGGGTAAAAAATGATATTGGATTTCTATTTTACTCTCTGTTATTTATTCAGTCATCACCTGATGATCAGATGTGTGTGTGTGTCTGTGTATTGTATAGAATTTACATTACCACTAAAAATAGTTCTAGTATTGATAAAATGCTTATTTAAAATTTAGATATTCAAAATATTTTGCATGAAGTGGAATATAATAAAATTTTAAATTTAATCATACAAAATTCAATTACATGGTGATGATAATAATTATCATGTAATTGCTAATGCCAGTTTATAATATTTAAAATATATTTTTAAATAAAACAACATACATTCATTTTTATAATTTTTATATTTATTTACCTATAAATTTACAGATATGAGTAGTTTATTGCAAAGTTAATCTAATTAGATGAAACAATAGCATGACCTAGTTTTATTTATTGTCTCAGAAAAATTGATTTAATTTACTTATTAAAAGTTTTCTCTGAATTTTAATTTCTTTTTAGAAAATTAAGTAAATAAATAAATATATGATATGATATGTAATGCTTTAATTCACTGATATATTCTGACATTATCAGTAATTCTAATTATTACACTAAAAATACTTTTAATGAGATCTTTGTCTATTAATTTTAGCAGTTTGTTTTTTAAGTAATTAAATTAAACTCTATGAAAATTAATTTATAAAAATAATGTTTTTTTTTAATTATGAACAGATATTGACATATCGTATTAAAATATATTCTATAATACTCTTTAAAATACCAGGTAAAATAACTGATTATATAAACTTTTATTGATTTATTTTTTTCCTTTTGGCTTTTGGCCCAAGAAGAATTTCAAGTATGAATATACCTATACTGATATCATTATTGTATGAATTGCAGATTAAATAAGCTAAACATTATGTATCTTTCATATCATTTCTGTGTTTTTTTTAATTATTTATTCCTTTATAACAATAAAAATTGATTAAAATGTTCTTATATTTTATACTTTTTAGCATTTTATACTTGTATTTTGTTTATCAGTGTAGCTCCCAGAGGGAGGCTAAGGGTCCTGGCACCCTCTGAAGAGAAAGGAAAATAAATACTAGGAACTTTTCCAAAAATATTATCCTAATTAAAATTAATTATTTTATTTATATTATGTCCGTGATTTTATTTCTTTCTATTTACGAGTTAACAGTCATATAAGGTGGGAATTTTATTGAATTCACATTTAAAAATTTATTTATTTTATTCAACTCGGCTCCCCCCCACGATTATTAAATTCTGAGTGCACCACCATTATCAATTCTTATTGATTTAATTTAGAAGTAAGAATTTGTTTATTTTGGTTACAAGAAGTTTGTTTTATTTATCTAATATAATATATTTTCTGAACTTTCATATTTATTTCTATTTATATAAAATAAATGTGGAATAGCCATCAACTTTATTGTAATAAATAAAGTTTATGGCTATATTATTAAAGGAAAAGTAATTTATTTCTAAAATTAAAAATTCTAACAGTAAATTATTTGCTGAATTTGAAAGTTTTGAAATTTCATTATTTTTTTTTTAGTGATAGTGAATTTATTATGAATTTATTAATTAATTTAAATAATTTAAAGACACTATAAAACCAAATGTCTACTTATATGAACATATCATAGATGAATATTGTTTATTGATTTTGCTTAATCTATTTACTATACGTTTAATGTTGTTAGGTTGCCTGAATTATAATCGTTAATCAGAGTATACCTATTTACACTAAAGGATAGGAAATTAATATCCTCTTTAAACGATCAGCGACCTGTGATAAATGATAATGATTGTTTATGTTATTACAGGATCGTAGGCGGTTGTCATGTTTCTTTTGAGAGTACGGGTCGTTGATTTGACAACACGTGATACTAAATTGTGAAGCTGTGCCAAGCATTGTCAGCAGAAAATATAAAATTAGAAAGCCAGTGTATTTTTCAAAAACACGTCTAGTCTGTAGGAAAAAACACGTGAAGGTCCGCGCGACCTTGAAAATAGTCGACCTTGATACCAGATAGGTCATGAGTCCCACCATAAGAAAATCGAGGAAGTGGATGTTTTACATTTCTTTTTAAAGATACTATATTAGTCCGATTCCGTTCTTAACAATTTTCTAACATCGAACGAATCTTTTTCTTCTTGTTTTTTTTTTCTTTTTAATACAGTGATTGATTAAATACTGTAACTATATACGCAACAGACCCTAGTGAACTGCAGTGTATAATTAGCCTGACGCATCACACAAGCTACTGTATATAGAGTATATGTAATCTCATTGGGAAACAGAGATCGGAAATTCCTCGGGGAAATCTAATCTCTTTTGATTCAATTGCTTTAAGTAATTTCCGTTCTCCCTTCATCCTGTCGTCGTGTGCCGCCATCTGTTAACGGCTTACGTTAACAACTTTGTCAACCACAATAGAAAGCCGGCTTTTTTTTTTTTTCTCTTTTCTTTCACTGCCGTTTCCAATGAGTCATGATATTTAATGGGCCACACGACGCCGTTCTTCTCGATCAATAAATGCACGTTTAAAAAAGGGTGTCATGAATATAGACTTTTCGTAATGTAGACGAAACACACTTTATCGTCTACCTACCCTTTAAAGCCTACTAAAAAAAAAGATTTTACGATTATTTTTTTAAATATTATTTTAAAGGTTATTAATAAAAACGTTGCTAAATAAATTTTAAATACGTATTCCCTCTTCTTCCATTTTTTAAGATACCTTTTTTTTTATGATGTATGAACACTCTAGAGACTTTTATATACGAAATGCGTATGTTCGTAGAATTATAAATAAATGGAATGATAATACTTCAGTTGCAGCTTTGGAAAAGATAAAAATATTCTTCCAGCAGTGAATTAAATTGATTTACTTATTAGAAATTTGAATTAATTAATAATAATAATACTACAGCAGCTTGCGTTGCTTGAAAATCGTCGACATCAACTTATAACATTTCGATATTGGTTTTTGGATTGATCTTAAGTTGTAATTGAAAATTCATTATAGTAACTTTTTGATGATTTTTCTTCTCGAATAAAAGTAAATTAATCAATAATTCTTCGACTNGCAATAATAATATTTTAGTTATTAAATATATAATTACTTTATAATTCGATTAATTCTGATAAATTTTAATTAATACCAGTCGACCCCCCCTATAACACTGTTAATTTTTCCGTTTTATATGAATTCCATGTTGTACGAGTCACTTAGATTTTACAAATACGTGAGCTGTTCACAGCCCGGCACACATATTTGTAAAATCTAAGTGACTCGTACAACATGGAATTCATATAAAACGGAAAAATTAACAGTGTTATAGGGGGGGTCGACTGGTATTAATTAAAATTTATCAGAATTAATCGAATTATAAAGTAATTATATATTTAATAACTAAAATATTATTATTGCTGTTTAAACCCGCGGACTTAACTAAAAATTTATGCGTGTTAATTCAGTTTTAGAATTTTAAGTTTGCTTTTTTTTTTGTTTGTTTTTCATTTAAAATAAATATACTTTGACTTTCTGAATTTTAATTGTAATTTATGTTACTCGGTTTTTTTTTTAATTTGTTAGGAAATTAAAGAATTAGACTTTAATTATTTTTGCGATAACGTTGATTATATCCTGTCTAGGCCCGAAAAAGAAAGATATAAAGTAACTTTTTAGATATTTTGCTTGTGATTTTATGTATTTTAGTCGTGTTTATGTAACATAAATAGATCTAAAATATTTGTTTAGCTGTAATTACCGTTATAGATAAACAAATAAAATATAACTAGACGAATAATTAGGTGCGTGATGAATGAGAATTTACTTTGTATTTTTTTTAAGTCTTTTCGTGGAATAACGAAATTTAATAATTAATTTTTGAAATAAATCTGGAAGATAAATCGAAAATTACTTTTTTAAAATCGGAAAAGATTAATTAGTCTTTATATAATGATCTTTATGACGTTACGAAATTGAAATTTTAAAGTTTAATTTAGAAAATATTTAACAAGCTTTAGTAATGATTTTTATAACATTCGAGAAAATTGAATTTTAAGTATAGAATAACAATAATTGTTAACGATTTTCATAACGTTTCAAAATTGAATTCGGGGTTTAAAAAATGCGCGTGGATAGCGATGATCGGAGTTTTAAAAATTTAAACCGAATACAAACAGTAATTAACCAATCGCAGCAAAGAATTTCTGTTGTTAATTTAAAATTCCAAAACTATATATATAAGGAATCAGACATTATCCATCAAATTCTCACTTAATATATTATTATTCTTGACTAAAACTAAATTGATCCGTTATTGTTCTGGCACGATGATGATATTTGGAAGGAATCGATACATTCTGAAACTAACCAGAGAAACCGCTTCAATTCGTTCATTTTCTACGTGGTCCAGGACCTCTATAGCATCTAAATAATCGATTAATACCCTCCTATTTCAAGAGTAAATCGCGAAACTCGATCCTAAACCATAAGAGAGACATTCGTAAATATAAGTTTGGATTTGTTCAAACTTTCGATAATCAATGCATTTATGATTATGATAAATAAAAAATGTATAGTCGCATCTTATCTGTGTTGTAAACGTTGTTATTGTTTAGCGTCGCCATGGCAACCGCATCCCTGGCGCTATTGGTCATTTCAGTTCCTGCGACTGCTTGATGGGAAGCAGCAACCGATTCTCTTTATCACACCCCCAACCGTACGGAGGTCGTGCGGATCATGACCCAGTTCATCAGTCATTTACCAGTCGATGTGGCTGTAGCATCGAGACCTGTGAGGCCACAATATATTGATATCAGAGAACATTCTAGGCAGGTAAGTCCTCTTCACCTCATATAACTCTTGCAATGTTGGGAAGCCTCATTTACAGTAACCGGTTCACGGATAGCGTAGTACATACCATGGACCGGAGAGTTTTTCTGGTAAATGCGGTTCGACTTTTATTAATTTTTTTTTCCCCTCTCGATTTTAATAAACATTAATCGTAGTTAGATTAGTTTTATCATCGTTCGAATCGTATAGTCATTCATTCTGCAATATCGATCTATATCAGTAAACGTTTAAGATTCTGAACACGACTCCTGTGATAATGTTGGGATATTTTTATTATTATTTTTTAAATATATTTACTGTATATTTTGTTTTTAATGCTTTTACTGTGAAACGATTTTGTTTTTTCATGTTAAGTAATTTTCTCGTAGTTTTATTCTTTCGCATCACCAAACAATAAAAGAATTATCAAACTTATATTCAGTAACGCGCAAAATTCCATTTTTTTAGAGGGATGCAATTGGCGTTTTGCCAAAATTTGTTCCAGAGAAGGAAGATATTTTTCTTCTGTAATGTATTTCAACAACAGTTTTGCACTATGCAATTCATCATCTCGAAATAACCATCAACACACTTCGACAGAATGTGATTTATCTGAAATTATTGAACTTTTGCGGTCGTGTGAAAGTCTCTCATATATTCAATTTTATATTTTTCATACTATACATGTTATGTAAGGTTTTATTATTCTCGATTCTTATAAACCTAATAAAGCTTTTCATATAATTCGAATGGAAATTTTTTTTTATAAAAATAAAGAGGATATTTCATTGTTAATAATTACACTCTTTTATCATGAAGGAGAAAGTCGTTTTATATTTAAATCGTCGTGAACAACACTTTTATTTTCAAAAATTATAAATTTTAATTAGTCTTTAGTTGGAAAATATTACTTATATATTTTTAGGCAATTTATTTTTATTATTCTATTTTTATTTGTAAGAAAAAGTAAAGATACAACTCGTAAGGAAATGATACTTTGAACGAATTTTATTATCTACTTTGTTAGTGATTTATTTAACGAATCTTCGATAAACTGTGTAAATTATTAAAGCATCATTAAATAAAATATAAATTAAAAGACATGGAAGCATTATCGTTTACAAAAATTTTCGCCGAAATTTAAATATTATTATTATTGAAATTATTGAATATTAAGATACACTTATTTTAATATTTTAGAAATGGTTAAACATTATCATTACGTATAAAATTGAATTTTGTGGTATTTAAGCATTTAATTTATATTATAATACGCTTATTTAGACGTTTAATCCTATGATAATCAGATAACATATCAAATATAATCAAAAGTTACTGAAACAATTATGGATCTTTGCCAAAATTCCTTTTCGGATTCGGAAGTTTTATTGAGTTTTTTTCCTTTTTTTAATAATGAATAACACATTAATTGTATAGGCAAGACTTTTTCTTTTGTATAGAATCCTTGCTATTATCGAATATTTCGGGGAAAGAATTACAAAACAAAAAAAGAATTAACTATTGTTAAAACTGTTTTTTTTTTAAAAGAAATTCAAATTTTGGCACTAAAATGCAAGAAAAATTTAAATTTAGGTTAATGCAAGTTTCGATTCTGTACTTCCGAAAGAGCGAAGTATAAATATTCAAAGAATTCGAAGCGTAGTGAAAATTAAAGATTAAATTTATAATGATAATCGTTAAATAATACTAAGAATCTGCATAT